AGCTGGAGCTCACTCTGCTGCGCGGAGCTGGGCTCGAACCGCTGAAGTGTCAACCATTTCTGGCCGGCAACTTTCAGCGTCATTAAGCTGCTGCACCACTGCGTCCCCAATAATACCTCTGGGTGATTATACACAAAGGAACCCTATATTCAGAAAACATAGTCAGCTAATCACTACTACTCTGTAGATGTTGTGGGTATTCATACAGAGTTTGTGGGAGTTGGGCTGCACTAGGAGTCCCTACTCTTTACACACAAAAAGTCTGAATGACTCAAGATGACTGATCTCCTTTTTATCCATCTCCATGGGGATGGATAAAAATGCAAGGGGTAAGCAATTTCTTTGCTGCAGAAATGTTTCAAATTAATCTCACACTTGCTTTAGATATATACAAAATAACGTAATTTAAAATATGCAGAAATACCTCTTCCACTTCATACCTTGCTAATCTTGAATGGCCTTTCCTTTGTGCGATCTTTGTTGAACTTATCTGCCCAGTTTCCCTTGAAATAGATAGCATTCACCAAAACCAGCTTTGTAAGAGAATTAATTATTCCTGGGGCAAGCAGATTCTCAATTTTACCTTTTGAGAATTTAAAAAAACTGCTTTAATTCATGGATACCTTCACATACATAATAATGTTGCACAAATAATCCTTAGGAGTCCACTTCTTAGATTTACTGTTTTTCTTAAGCGTCTGTCTGTCTATCTATGCAAATAACATTGAGATACTTAGCAAATCATGGACATGTTTGTAGGTAAATTAGAATAAAGCAATTTTATTTAATTATTAGATTTCTATTTTGATTCTCATTCAGGAGCTCAAGGCAGTGTACACAGCACTCCTGTTTCCATGTTCTCACACTACAACCCAGTAAAGTGGGTTGTGCTGAGAGAAAATAACTGGCTCAAAGTCACCCAGTGAGCTCCTCTGGATGAAGATGAACTACAGCTTTTGCTTCCCCAGGGCCAGTCCAACATCTTAACATTATTTAATAAAGTTACCATATATGCACAAGTTAAACAACATGCAAATTAAATACAGGTAGTCCTCACTTAATGACCACAATAGGGACCAGAAAATTCATTAAGCAGGATGATTGTTAAATGAGTTGCACCCAATTTTACTACCTTTTTTGCAGCAGTCATTAACCGAATCACCATGGCTGTTAAACGAATCACGTGGTCATTAAGCAAATCATGCAGTTTCCCATTGATTTTGCTTGCTGGAAGCTGGCTGGGAAGGTCGCAAATGGTGGTCATGTGACCCTGGGATGCTGCAACCATCATAAGTGTGAACTGGTTGCCAAGCACCTGGATCGCAATCACGTGACCAAGAGCCACTGAGATGGTTGTGTGAGGATCAATTGTAAGTCCTTTGTTCAGCACCACTATAACTTTAAACGGTCACTAAATGAATGGTTGTTAAATGAGGACTACCTAGAACTGAAATGTAAATATGGTCAGATGGGTCCATCAATAAAACTAGGCATCTTTTCTTGGCTAGAATTTCATCAGAGATTTGATGGGCTTCCATGTAGCAAATAAGAGTTAACTATGGTGGGTCTACCTGCCTTGTCTTTCCCTCTGACATACACACACAATATTGCACACCTTGCTTAATACAACTACTAATTAACTCTACAGGCATGCCTCACTTAACGACCGTTCATTTAGTGACCATCCAAAGTTACAACAGCACTAAAAAAAGTCACGACTGGTGCATGAAGTTATGACCATCGCAGCACTGCCATGGTCATGTGATCGCAATTTGGGTGGCTGGCAACCAGCTTGCACTTATGAAGGTTGCAGAACTCCGGGTCACATGATCGCCATTTGTGACCTTCCCAGCCAGCTTCCGGCAAGCAAAATCAATGGGGAACCACATGGTTTGCTTAATGACCGTGTGATTCACTTAATGAGTGCCACAAAAAAGGTCATAAAATTGGGTGTGGTCACATGATGCTTCACTTAATGACCAATTTTCCAGTCCCTATGTGATCGTTAAGCAAGGACTACCTATATTATAATTCTCAAATGTTATTAATTTACTTCTATTAATCACTTTGCAATCTTGACTCTGCCACTATATATGCTGATTATACTTATTGTCTCCAACTTACTTTACATGTAAAAACTGAAAAATAGTTCTTCCCCACCATACCAAAAGCCTCATTCATCATACAGAACCGGTAAATCTACCTTTACTTTCTCAAAAAGAAATAGAGAACATGGGGAAATCACCTGAAGTTTCTTCTTCCACCCAGGCATTTATATGTGTTCTAGAATCTTCTGAAGCTTCACTGAAGTTAAGTTTCTCCAGACCTGCATGGTAGAATTTCTGAGTGGAATCTATAAATGACTTAAAAATAACGACATCTCAGTAACAGAAGCAATACTGAAGAGCAAGAACTGATTTCATTCCATTTTTCTATGAACTAATAATCTGGAAGCTCTATTTATTACAACGAATACACCTTATAAACTGCCAGTGCCATTGGATAGTTAATTACAGCCTAGAAAAAGCATTATCAGATACAAGGAACCATTATGGAGTTATCCCAAGGTAACTTAGTTTATTCAAGGATATATGAATATATGCAATTATTGGCCACATGGTTACATTTATGACTTTTACTTGGTATGTTCTACATTTAGGATGCTAAAGTCTTACCAAGCTGTGTGTTCCTATAGCATTCCCAGTAAAAGTAGGTAAACCTTTTAATTTGCCCCCCCCCCCCGATATCTCAACAGACCAAAGTAGAGCTATAGGAGTACTAGGTACTTTTCACTAAGGAGTCCACATGCAGTGCAATTCTTTATTCAAAAAGAACCATTTTTTGCAGCATTTTCTCCCAAAGCAGCAAGCCCAGAACTGCTGTCAATCAAACAGACCTAAACACTGTCCTAGATCTATTTTATATTTGGTTGGTGTGCACACTGAGAGCTTAACTGGGCAAAGACACTTCAGATCAGGCTTGCGTAGTTCCCACTATCTGCTGGCAATTCCTTAAGGGGGCATGCTTTTTCCTAGTTCATGGATCTTTTAAGAGGCTGCCAATTTATAGATGGAGGGCCTCCTCATCAGATCCAAAGCACCTCTGAGTCCTAATACTGTGTACCTCTAGAAAATCAGAAGCATGGCATGAAAGGGTCACTCCTTCTGCACCAAAAATATGATCTAGCATGGGAAAAAAACTGCAGTAGTGTTATGTCATTATAATTCCAAAGTTACAGGATGACTTTTCACAATGCAGCACCATAGTATAGTGGGGTACCCTACAGTAAACAAAGTGAAAAAGGAAAGACGAAGCTAAGTTTTAATGGCCCGTTCTTGATTGATAAAATAGTTTGTTTCACAGCCAATTTCATTAATTGGGGAGAAAGGCAATTGAACAGTATTTTTTTCCTACATTAACTATAGAACAGATATTCTCTATCTAGCCTCTGAGTCATATCAGTGGTCAAAATTTAGGACTGTGTTTTTTAAATGTAGTTTTCTTTTCAACTCCACACTTAAACTGGCCATTGTCCACTGAGGGATCAAGAGGCTGCCCTACTAGCAGATTCGGCTAAATGGTTCTAGATGGCTCTCTCTCCTCCTAAAATAAGCAAAGGTAAAATGTTTCATTTAAAAGAACTGACATTATCTAATCATTATGCAAAGATTTAGCTCTCCGGAGAAGGCTCTAATCCTGGGAAAGGTAGAATGAAAGAGAAGAAGAGGACAACCTCTTGATGGATGGACTCATTTACAGCAGCAATGTGTGCACCATTGGCAGACCTAAAGGACCAGGTTAGGGACAGTTCCTCTTAGAGAAAATCTATCTATGTGGTCGCTCACAGCCTCAACCTGATGTCACATAATCAATCAATCAAATGTTGTCTAAGAGTTAGTCATACGTCTGTCTTTCAATGCCTCATCCAACCTATTATATTTCACTAGTATAGGCAATACCTGTGAAACTGCAATTCTGATGAGAGACAAACATAACCTAGCTTAAATTTCATTAGAACAAACAGAGTGTTTATCGTTATTTCCAGCTAGTTCTCCAATACGTATGTAACTTACTGCAAGAAAATCATATGACGCTTCTCCAAAGAGCCTGTTGGCTAGACTGAGGACATAATTGGCGCCTGGTTTGTTGATTTTGGAAATGAGTTTTTCAAATATTTGGTGAACCTCTTTATCTTTGGATACAGATAGCACCTATAAGATGATATATGATTCATCAAATTATGTTTAACATCAATTCAACATTTAATACAGCAACAGCAAACTCTGGAAAAACCTATATATTCAGTTAAAATCTATATACTTCTAAAACTCTCGTTGTCTTTATCTGTTTGTACCCTCAAGTTAGCCCAAACGGTGCATTATACCACAATTATGAATCAAGGTACCTAAAATCTGCTAACTCAAAGAATGCATAAAAAATCCAAGACCCATTACTCCTGTGGAATTGAAATTTCCACAATGCTGAGACCAGTTTTATTCGCTAAGTTGTGGCCACTGCAGCGTCTCCACAGTCACGTGATTGTGATTTCCAATGCTCCCTGCCAGCTTCCCACAAGCAAAGTCATTGGGGAAGTTGGCAGGAAGTCAGAAGTCACTCCTGCTCCCACTGCTTTTTTGCTTGCCCATGGTCATTCTGTTTAGGTAAGTAAATATTGACTTATTATTGAAGTCCATTTGCCACTACAATTATTTTTCTATTTATGATATATACTCTACTTAGATGATCACAGGACCATCCAGCATTGGAGTAAAAAAAATATATAGTCAGCCTAAAATTTAATGTTCATTCTGGTCACATCAGACTGCAGTACCTTTCTCTCAAAGGATGACCCAACGGGTCACAGGGTTGTCTAGTGGTCTCTATACATTTTGCAGCTAAATTCTTCAAAGGATTGCCTGCACATGTATAGCTTTTTAAGTTAATGGCTGACCCTGTCTGGGCTTGAAAGCTAAATGGGATTGAGCCTAGTTAGTATTTGGATGGTGTTTGAACCCCAAGGTTGTACAGTAGGCTGGGGGGGAAAAAACTTCCTTAAAGGCAACACTGACAAGTCATTTCCCTACTGTTGCCAAGACAACTGATGTAGGTATCCATGAAGTCACTAAGAGTTAAGCTTGACTTGAAGACTTCACTGTACATGTTTGGACTTCTCCATGTTTGAAAATCCTACTCACTGATCTGCTTTGAAGATCAATTTGACTGACAAGCAAGAGAAATAGAGGATTTTCAGACATGTCCCTTCCCTGGAAAAATAGGCTTCTAAATCACAAAGAACATCCCTCCATTCATCAGGTGTTTAAAAAGAGGCAGAAGAAAAACTCTTGGACCTATTACTCTTTACGTACACAAATATTTGATCAAACTGAATCATAACTATACACCGCCAGCTGTCCAACCTTTCTCCAAATATAGAATGGAAGGTATTTATTAGGGCAATGGTAGCCAGTGTTTTCAAAAGTAAAGGCTGAACTTAATGCTTCTGGGAAGAGTGGCAGCTGCAGTGAGCTGGGCACTGTCGACGTCATGTCCCAGTGCCTGAAGGTTGTTGGACTATGGATGGGAAGGAACAGGCTTAAACTTAACCCTCCCAAGACTGAGTAGCTGTATGTCTGGTTCTCTTGGTACCATAATTTCTCATCTTTAGTTCTTTCCCCAGGTTCTTTCCCCAGGTGCTGAGTTAGGAAGCATGTGCCTTGGAGGGATTCTGTTACTGTGTTGGATAGACCCGTGTTATTGCCTTCTTTTTGTTTTTTATTGCATTGGATCTGTTTTTAACTCATAACTCTGGGTGGTCTATAAATTTGACAAATAAATGAATAAATGCTACAGGTATCCTGGATTGAAGCATAAACATGTGCCAGATCCAAGATTCTGTGTCCATCCACCCACTCCCCAAGTTTGGAGTTCCTTTTATCAGAAAGAAAGAAAGAAAGAAAGAAAGAAAGAAAGAAAAAGAAAGAAAGAAAGAAAAAAAAAGAAAGAAAAAGAAAGAAAGAAAGAAAAAGAAAGAAAGAAAGAAAGAAAGAAAGAAAGAAAGAGAAAGAAAGAAAGAAAAAAAAAAGAAAGAAAAAGAAAGAAAGAAAGAAAAAGAAAGAAAGAAAGAAAGAAAGAA